TATATATATATATATATACATATATGCATATATACATATATAATAAACCATTAAATTAATGATGAACAATACCTTGCAAAATATGACAAGTACATTTGATAACATATTCGTCAACAAAAGCTGATATTCATAGTTCGATCTTACAGAAGAACGTTTTAAAGTATGATATTGAAACATTGTATGAGCGTATCGCCATTTAATTTATTGATTGTATGGAATCTTAGGATGGAATCTCTATATATGATCAGAATAGTGATTTTGAATACAACATTGGGCCGGATTATAAATACCGAATAATGATATATATATATAAATGTTTAAAATACTTTTGAAATGATTAATTATAAAAATAAGTAAGTTAGTAACATTTTAGAAGATCGAAACGCGATATGTTTGGATATCGCGCCGAATCTCGCGTGCGATCATGCAGCGCAAGATATTACGCCAATAAAAACAGAGCGCTAAAGTCAACTCAATTTGCCCTTACACAGCGAATAATTGAAACTCCTACGGACAAGGCGGCCAATTAGAATGTGTAAAGAGATACAAATTTATATTTTAACGAAACAAGAAACGTTATGATTCTAGATCGTTCTATTTATTGTTTAATTTCCGTGTACCGAATTCTCCAAGTTTCGAGAACAATCTGGAATAACAACGTTATAAAATAACGTGTCAGCAGCAATTTGACACAGTTTGATACCGACCGTCACGTAAAATTATAATTACGTGTAAATTTGCGCCTTTTGATTATTGAATATAACATTATTATACGAAGTAGACAATTTAATCCTTGTTCCATTATGGATAGACCGATAGTGACTGTGAAACAAGGAAAACTGCAAGGAATCTTTGAAGAAAATGTTCTTGGATCTCGTTATCTCTCTTTCAAAGGCATACCCTTCGCTGCTCCACCAATACATGAATTGAGATTTAAGGTAAACTTATTTATCAAATCTAAATAATTTCTAATTTATTTTTATTTGTATCCCCTAGTGAAAAATTTCGCTGAAATTATTCCATGTTTTGGAACATTTCAGCGAAATTGTTGAAAATTTGCTGAAATTTCATTGAAAGTAAATTTTTTAGCTAATGTACTGAAAAATCGTTAAAACTGAACTGAAATTACTTTGAAATTTCTTTAAAATTTTTGCTGAAATTTTGCCGAAAAGTGTTCCAAAATATGGAATAATTTCAGCGAAATTTTTCCACCAGGGTCCCGTTAAAAAATATTTAATTATTCTAATGCATTTTGCAATTATTCTGCTTGTATACTAACAAAATAATAGTTAATTGATTTTATAATTATCTTGTGATTATTACAATATAACCTGTTATCATTTGATATTAATAGTATTTTACTATTAATTGTTCAAAATTAGGATCCCGAACCTCCTGCTCACTGGGAAGGTATTCGAGATGCTTCTAAAAATGCTGGCGATGTTTGTGCACAGTTGAATGAAGCAACTGGAGAGGTCATTGGCAGCGAAGATTGTCTTTATCTTAATATTTACATATCAGATGATATTTATCAGAAAACAGAAAATCCAGTTATGATTTGGATTCATGGTGGGGGTTATCTTTGGGGTTCTGGTAATGATACTAACGTGCGACCTGATTATCTTCTAGCAAAAGGTGTCATTTTAGTGGCTATAAGCTATAGACTTGGTGCTTTTGGTAAGATTTGTAAGAGATTTCCAAGAGAACCTATCTCTTGAAGTATGAAATTTTTTTATCGTATATCTGTAAAAGATACAGAGCAGAATATGCACGTCTAACGCGATACACATTCGAAATATTTTATTTTTTAAGGTTTCTTGAATCTTGATCATGAAGTAGCAAGTGGAAATCAAGGTTTGAAAGATCAAGTTGCCGCATTAAAATGGATCAAAGAAAATATCGAGGTTTTTGGCGGAAATCCAAATAATATCACTATTTTTGGTGTCAGTGCAGGTAGCACTTCCACGCATTTCTTAACGTTATCACCGTTGTCTAAAGGTATAATAACATATATTTATAATAATATATATTTCGTTTAAAAATGAAATATTTCGCACATATCAACATTCACATCTCACGCATACACGCACGCATCTACCTTTCTACTAGGTCTCTTCCACAAAGCTATTCTTCAGAGTGGTATAGTTACATGTGATTGGGCGATGATAAGAAACCAACCAGAAGCCAATTCTTTTAAACTTGCATCTAAACTTGGCAATGATTCTAAAGATCCTAAAACAGTTGTTGAGTTTCTCAAAACAAAATCCTTTGCTGAAATCACCCAAGCACAATATACGGTTCTCACTCCAGAGGTGAGAATTATATATTTTTTATATATTTCTATTTTTTATATATATTTTTTATATATTTCTTTTTTATTTTGTGTTTAAGAACACAAAAAAAATTATTCTAATGCATCGATTAAATGTAAAAATTTATTAATTTTAAATACAAATGTGGTAAATCTCCAGATCAGGATCCTCCTCTCTCAATGTCAATAACTTTTGACTTTGATATATGTTATATATCAAGAGGGGAGGAGAAGTCCCTTGATTTGGAGATTTCATAAATCATAAATGTTACGGATAACACTGTTATTGTTAACTATTATTAATTCAAGAATGTTTCGTAGAAAGCGCGCACTCTTTTTGTCCCATTTGGACCTACAATCGATAATAAAGCAAAAACACCTTTTCTTCCATGTCCTATCTCTCAATTACTTGATGATGGCAATAAAATACCAATTATGATTGGTACTACTTCTGATGAATATATCTTTTTCCTTAGAGGTATATTAAAATTAATAATATTAGTAAATTTATTTATATTAAATCGTATGTCATATATTTATATTAAATATCGTATGTAATATATATTATATAAGATATATTATAGATATTATATATATAGATATTATATAGATCGTTTATTATCTGTTAATAGATACCAGTGAAGAAACTTTGAAGACAATGTATACGGATCTACCACTATACATACAAAATTTTACAAACTCGCAAAACGCCTTAAAAATAATGCAATTAACTAAACGAATTAAAGAAAAATATTTTAATAATAAATCTGAATTCACTGTAGAGAGTATCCCATCTATTATACGATTTCTGAGTGATCTGCATTTTAATATTCCTATTGAAGATTTTGTGGATATGCGAAGGAAAAGGAAGCAAGCACCGACTTATTTTTACAAATTTTCCTACATCGGCGATCAGATGACTATAACGAAGCTTTTGGGGAATAAATTGACTGGTATATAAGTTATTAAATTTATAAAATTCTTGATTGAAAACTACTTTTCGTCTACTTACTTTATAATTTTAACATAATGGGATATTTCAGGAACTTCTCATATTGACGATATGTCATATCTTTTTTATCAACCTAGCTGTAAAATTAATGATCCTGCTCCGCCGGCAGTATATACAAGAGATCGAAAAATATTAGAAATTCTTACAACAATGTGGACTAATTTTGCAAAGAAAGGGTAACTATCATAAGTGTTGTAAATATATATATATATATTGTAAATATATATATACAGATATTGTTGGAAAAGATAATAACAAAGTAAGATAAAAATATTTTTGGTTTTTAGACATCCTACACCTGTCTTAGATCAGTATGTAACTACTAGTTGGGTACCAGCAACAATGAATTTTTTTAACTATTTGGATATCAGTGATGATCTTCAATTATTAACTATCACTAACCATGACAATTCATTGGCCAAAGAGGTGGAATTATAAAAATTTTACAAATATAGTATACTGACCAGTGCGAAATTTTCCAAGCTATAAGTCTTTGAAATATACACATAATATATATGCTGAAAAAAAATTTTAACAAACTGTTTAACTAACTAAACACATTTAGTTATTTGTAGATTTGGTTAAGTCAATAAATTTTATTTAATTGAATTTATATATATTCTATAATTTGCTTAACATTGAACTTGAACAGTTTGTTAAGACTACAGTTGAATTCAATCAAATAAAATTTGTTAAATTAACCAAATCTGCTAATAA